AATCAGCCACTATTGAGTGTATACAATGTAGGAGGGGCCAGTGGAAGATTTCCGGTTGGTAGAAGACTCAGAGGTCCATGGCTCAGCAGGGAGCAGATAATCATAGGATGACTGAAGAGGTGGAGATGATTTGTGATAGGAAGGATCTTGCTTTGGAAATTTTTTTTTTTTTTTGTCTTTTTGAGACAAGGCCTTACACATTTTAGGCTGGTCTTGAATTTACTTTGTAGCATAGGCTGGCCTCGACTTTATTTTATTTTATTTTTTTTGGCACCAGGGATGGAACTCATGACCTCACAGTTGCCAGGCAGGCATTTATGCTGCTGAGCTAAATCCCTGGCTCTGGAGTGTTCTTTTTAATCTTGGTAGTTTTAGTCTTAGTGGGTGGGAGAGGATGGCCCATCCCAAAAGAGTTAATCAGAAATCTCAAAAGGGTGATACCATAATTCCAAGCCTCCATTTCAAGGACACAAAATTAGCCATTATGAACTTGTGATCCCCAATAATGGTGATCAAGATGGATCCTAGAGTCTCTCTCTGCTGAAAGTGGGAAGTGAGTAGGAAAGGGAAGCTGCTCTCCTAAGCTTTGAAAGGGAGTGAAATCCGATGGGGCTGCGGAACTTGCTGACGTGCCTTGTGGGAGATGAGTCAACAGGTGCTTGATTGGCTAGAGAGATGAGACCATCTTAGGATGTGCAAGAAAGACCTGGCCTGCTCCCTCCTTCACCCTTCCCTGCTTTGCCACGTGAGGGTCAGCAGCCCCAAGGCAGGAGAAGTGGTGGGTGTGGAGGAGGAGCAGTGAGAGCTGCCTTCCTCTCCCACTGACAGGGCCAGCTGCCGCAGGCCAGCCCAGGGAGCAGCTGTCCACATGAAACATGTGACTGTTAACTCCCAGCTGGGACTGGACATTTTGATTCCTGAATTGAGACTGTTATGTTGTAGGACCTTCTGCTACCGGGAGTTCCTAGAAAGGCTGCGGGACTTGTTCGTTTTAAACTTTACTCTGAGGAGGATTGCTTCCCTGCTGTGTGCGGAGAGGCTGAGAGGTGGATGTTGGTTGATGATTCAGATCTGTTTCGATCTGAGAAGAAGAGTGTTAAGATAACATAGGTCTGAGGCTAACCCAAATTGCGTCTGCCCTGGATTGGATGAGCAGTGTGAGAGAAAGAGAGGAATCAAGGATGGTGTGACTTGAGCTCCTGGGGAAGGTGCAGTTCTATCCAGTTTTGTTCTAATGGGGGACAGTAGTGAAATTCCAGATTCTGTTTCTGCCCTGCGAAGTTATTGGTCACCGTTTCCATCCAGGTGGAAGTGTTAGGCTTGTAAGAGGGAGTTCTGAAGGGACAGCAGGGCCAAGGAGGCACATGTAAAACCACTGACATATGGCAGTGCTTGAAATGATGGGATGGGGTGAGATCACCTGGTTGGTGAGTGTAGGGAATGATTGCAACGTTTGGAAGCTGGGAGGAAGAAGGAGCCACAGAGGAGGCTGTGGTTGTGCTTTTTAAGTGGGTGGCAGTGATATTAGGTGCCTCCTGTGTCCTGGAAGCAGAGCTGTTTTAAGGTGGAGATGCCCTTGATGATGTTGCTGAGATGCCAAGGGCAACGGGAAGGGAAACCCCCAGAACATTACATTTGGCTGGAGGAAGTTGCTGGTGTGCTGAATGGAGCAGTCTGGGTGGCAGAGGTAATAAACTCCTGCAATGTATAGGCCATGGCGGGGTGTACCTGCTCAAAGGAGCTGAGCAGCTGGAGCCAGTCCAGGGCAGTTGAGGTCAAGAGACTGAAGTTTTAAACTACATTAAAAATTTTTTTTTCTTTTGAGACATGGTCTTGTTGTGCAGTTCAGGCTGGCCTTGAACTCACCATGTAGCCCAGGCTGGCTTTGAATCACAGCAGTCTTCTTGCATCAGTACATACCACCATCGCCGGTATAAACTTTAAATTTTGAGAGAGAATAGATTCACGTGGGGTTTTGACTAACACAGAAGAATCCCACGTGCCCATTGCCCTTTTTCTCCCAGTGCTAATGACCCACAGAGCCCCAGCCGCCACCATGGTCAGGGTGTTGGTATCCACACAGTTGTGCAGGTGCCCCTGCTGCAGGTGCTGCCATGGCCACCTGTCTCTCTTGCCTTCTCTAATCTCTGACAGTCTCTAGTCTGTTCACCATGTCTGTAATTTTGGCATACCAAGAATATTACATAGGTAAAACCATACCTACTGTAACTTTCTGGTGTTGCTTTTTTTTTTTTTTTTAAATTTTGAGATAGGCTTCTGAGCTTTCAGGAACTTGGCGGTCTTTCTGGTTTAGCCTCCCAAGTAGCTGGGATTTACGGGTGTATACCACCACACCTGGCTCCTTTTTAGTTTTGATGAAGTCTAGTTTTTCAGTTTTCCCTTTTGTGGCTTGGGCTTTTAGTGTGAAATCTCAGAACTCTGCCTAGTCTGAAGTCCTGAAGATTTCTTCTTGTGTGTCTTTTTCTTAAACATTTCTTCTACGTATGTTAGAACCATATTAGGATAATGCTACAGATTTTGCTCCACCCATCAAACATAATTTAGAAAAATCAACAGGTGAAAAGTATTTATAAATGATTGTGATCTGTCTTTGTTCTTCCTTCCTTCCTAATTGTTAGTGATTCATTTTTCATCTTTCTGTTTTTGTTTAGCGACATTTTGTTAGCTGTGCTTTGAGGAGCACTCTGCTGGTGGTAAATTCTCCTCATTTTCCTCCTCGAAGGATATTTTGCTGAATATGGATATCTGGGGTGACAGGTTTTTTTTCTGTTAGCTCCTAGAAATATTGGACCACTTTCTTTCACCCACTGGCTTCTGCTGAAGGGAATTCTTTAGACTTTTTTTGTTTTTTTTTTTGAGACAAGGTCTTACTATGTAGCCTAAATGGCCTCAAACCCGCTGAGATCCTCCTGCCTCAACCTTCTGCTACCACACAGAAGCCCTGGAACCATTTTCTCCTATAGATAAGAGATTGTTTATACCTGTTGTATCTTGTGGATTGCTTTATCCTGCAGGTTTTTGAGTCTGCAGGTTTGTGTCTCTTTCTAAGATTGGGGGGGGGTGGTTAGTCATTATTCCTTCAGTCTTGTTCTTTTTCTCCTGTCCTCTGGGACTCTGATATCATGAATACTAGATCTTTTGTTAGAGTACTGCTCATTTCGAGGTTCCATTCCCTTTGTGATGAAGTTATTTCTGCTGTTATTTATTCTGTCTTGGTGTTCCTTGTGTTTCCTCCATTCTGTTACCAAAAAAAAAAAAAAAAAAAAAAAAGATGCTCACAGAAACACCCAAAATAATGTTTCCCAGGTACCAGGGAACCTCATGGCCTAGTGAAGCTGGCCTGGAGAAGTGACCACCACATCATCTCTGGACTGGCTTTACCCCTTCAGTTTGTATCCTCCCTAGGAGAGTGGAAGTCTAGATTCAGCACTAGGTCTTTACTGAAAACAGTGGGTATGGCACTGCTGATTTCCTTGTGACGTTTGGCTGGAGCAGTGTAGCTGCACTGAAAACTGTCTGATGTTTGCCATCGTATGGAGCCGCCCTTCTCCCAGCCCTTTGGTTAGAGACAGCTGGCTTCTATGGGAGCAATTTTTGTTTGTGTTCATTGCATTTCCAAACTGCAGACTCCTTTAGCTCCAAGTCTGGGACATAGGAGGCAAAAAGAAAACCTGGGAAACTCACCATAGATTCTGAGATTTCTGCATGTTTTGGTGTCTTCCTATGCTTGCTTTATATATGATGTTCAAAGTATAAATTGTACTAGGTGAGTGGAGTAGGAGAGAGGTGTATATCTACTCCATTTTTCCAGAGGTGGAAATCGTGTCTTTTTTAAAGATTAGAATATATTTATCTGGGAGAGAAAGCTCCTGTCTGAGAGACAGACAGAAGGGGACCTGAGCACCTAATTTTTTTAAAGATGAGAATAATGAGAGTCACCTGGCTTTCATGAGAAGGGAGGTTGCAGGCTCCCAGAGCTCTAGTAGGTGACAGGACAGATACTGTAGTATAACCCGCTCTTCTCCCAGGAGGAAGGCAGCCTGAGGGTGCTTGTAGGGAAACTGGTGGCTCTGGTGACTGTCCATCTGGTCCACAGGTCTGAGTACTATGTGGGCCTGGGCAGAGATGTCATCTAGGAGTGCAAACCTTAGTTAGATTCTCAGCATCATTTCTCCTAGGGACCCATGGGTCCTGAGTCAGTGTTCAAGAATCAGAATTTACAAGCTACAACCAGACCAGGGACCTGAGGCTCTCCAGGCATGGAATCTGCAGATCCTTCCAGGGCTGGCTGACATTAGACAACAGCCTGTGGAGAGCAGCCCAGCCTTCTGGTAGTGCCAGGCTGTCCTCCTGCCTTCTATGTCTACCTCTCCACTGGTTTGCTCTAGCACTGGACTTCCATGGATGAATAGAGGTCCTCCACCCCTAGCCAAGTCCACTGGGATCCATACACAGATGGTAGTTGTGGAATCAAATTGGATTCTGGGGCCTGTGCTACGAAAAACAAAGTCTGGAGGAGATGGTCCTTCTTCGTTTTCAGCAATTCATATCATGCCTGGGGTGCCTGGCTCCTTTGGGCCAGGCCCCGGGTAGAACTGTCCCCTAGGGCTTCTGGGGAACACAGCAGAACCTCTCAGGGCCCCTGAATGGTAGGCATGGTCCCTGACAGGTGGTTAAACATGGACCTTTGAGCTTCTGGGGGCGATGTCTTCAGAGCTGCTCAGGGAGATGGTGAGTGTTAGAGACCAGGCATGCAGCCTTGAGCAGCGTATGGCTCTGTGGTGGTGCTGTGTTTGTCAGCAGTGCTGGGCTGTGGTGGTAGGCTCTGTGACCCTGGTGCCATGGAATTTCCAGTCCAGGAAGAATCCAGGAGGTGAGCCTGGACTCCCACCTGGACCATGTTGTTTGCTTCCAAGGCTTGCGAGGGCCCAGACACACTTTTGTGTTCTGCTTGTCCTTCATCTCCTTCTTGCTTCCAGACAAATGACGCAGCCGGCAACACCTGGAACTGGCTCTACTTCATCCCGCTCATCATCATTGGCTCCTTCTTCATGCTGAACCTGGTGCTGGGCGTGCTCTCAGGGTAAGACTGTGTTCTCAGGCAGGGAGCAAGGAGGAATTGTAAGTTGGTGCCCATTGTCCTGGGCACTAATGACTTTTCCTTTGTGTCACCTTTCCAAATGCCCTTGACTTTTCACTGGTCTCCTTCCTTCTGTTAAATGCGTGGCCTTTGCCCTGCTTCTGCTGTGAGATGGGGCCACTACTTCCTCTCAGCTGGGAATGGTCTTTGCTAGGGTTTCAGGCAAGCTCAGTGGCCACAGGGAAGGCCCTCTGTCACCACAGGATACAGACTTGGCTCAGAGTCTTGCTGCACCCCTCCAGTCAGGTTACTTCTTCATGCTGAGTTCTGCTAGGAAGGGGCACAAGGCTGGGAGTGTTTCCTGGAAAAGATGTTCCTGACCCTTCCCTGGAAATGGGCTGTGGGAGTGGGCCTGGCAGTGGGCACAGGCATCTGCCCATCACCCATGGTAAGACTGAGGAATCTGTGTTGTCAAGGTGATGGAGGAGTCAGGCCTGGCTGGCTTCTCTGTCTCCACTTGAGCATCAGATTGCCTCAGGCCCTGGTGCACTGGCCATGTGCTCAAGGTCAGTCCCATCAGGTTCAGGGCTTCCTTTGTACTCTGGCCTGAAGACCTCCATAAGGAAAGGAACTTGTGTATGCTTGCAGGCCTTGTGGACCCACATGTGCACATGGGTGTGTGTGTATGTGTGAATGGCTTCCTTTTGCACTCTGACCGTGGGATGTAGGCTGGGACTGGTGTGGGATAGCCTGTTCTGTACTGGTCACCAGGCTTGAAGGGCTGGGATTAAGGGAGGCTCAGGGGTACAGATGACCCTCTGGGCTCATTGTAAGCCTTAGAGGTTTGGTGGCAGAAGCAACATGACTTCTGCAGAATTTCCCTCTTTACCCTGTGAGCCAACCAGTCCCTCTTCGTTTGCTTCCTGTCTGTCCTGTCCCCAGGTCTGCCTCACCTCCAGAAAACAGTGGCCATTATCCTTCAGGGAATTCTTGCCAGAACTCTCTGGGGGGATAGCAGCTAACAGTCCTGGCAGGGGACTAGGGTCCAGGCAGGGGACTGGGGTTGTCTCTGCCCTCAGAAACCCTCTGCCCCTGAGTGCTGGAGTCTGAGAAGGATCATCGTGGGCTGACAGTCAGGTTCCCCGGGGAGCAGAGCTGCCCGATGTTGCCCAGTGTCTATCACATAGGTTAGAAGAGGGTGCCTGGAGGGACCACCCTGGAGCCTTGGTCTCTGGGACTGCATGCCAGTGGCTGTGTGGTCTCTGCACTCACTTGCTCTGCTTGCTTTCCTTCTCCCTACGTGTTGCAGGGAATTTGCCAAGGAGCGAGAACGGGTGGAAAATCGCCGTGCCTTCCTGAAGCTCCGTCGGCAACAGCAGATCGAGCGGGAGCTGAACGGGTACCTGGAGTGGATCTTCAAGGCTGGTGAGAGTCCAAGGGGGCAGGTGTTATGCTCCTGAACTGCTTGCTGTCTCTGTGTCTTCAGGTCTGTTCTGCCTCTGGGGTGGGTTTGGTGGAGGAGGGCTTTGTAATGAGAAGACCTTTTTCTCCAGCTCATCCAGAGCTCAAATACCAGGCAGCCACATGGCACTGAGAACATCGGGCTTTCAGATAAAGGACTTGGGCATGGCCCAGCCTAGAGCTTAGACCCAAGGACCCTGCCCTTGACCAGAGCCCTGGCTCTGGCCTCTGGGAGGGAAGACTTTGTGACTTCCTTCCTTGGCTCTTCACTATGGGGCCACCCCCACCTGCTGAGGTTTCACAAGTGCTTCTACTGCAACCAACTCTCCTAGAGGGAGGTAGAGGGAGAAGAGTGGATGGGAAAGTGGGAGAGACTCAGGCACAGGGTGCTATGTGAGTCTTGGTAAAAGTGGCCCAGCCACAGGCCTGCCGGTTGCTGGAGTATCACAGCAGAGCTGGTGGGTGCTCCCAGGTAGCGCGTGCGCTCATCTGGAGCTTGGCTTGGGGGCCTGCCCTGTTGAGATGGCAAGAAGGCCCTGACTAAGGCCATGTCCCTTGCAGAGGAAGTCATGCTGGCTGAGGAGGATAAGAATGCAGAAGAGAAGTCACCTCTGGATGGTAAGTTACTCTTAATGTGGAGTGGGCCCTGTGGTCACTGGGATGGCTGCCAGTACAGAAAGGTCCTGTCAGGTAGCTGGGCCTTGGGGCTTTTTTTTGGTACTGGAAATCAAACTCAGGACCTCATGCTTGCCAGGTGGGTGCTGCACTACTGAGCTAGATCCCTGGCCCACACTGGAACTCCGAGCAGGTCAGTGCTGGCCTTGCCCCAGGGAAATGTTTCTGGTGGTGGCCAGGCTTCCCTGCTAAGCTCATTTTGAAGAGAAGAGAGAGCAGAAGGGAGCCCCAGGGGGCCTGGAATTGTCCTACCCCAGCCTCAACTCAAGCTTTCGGACAGGAGATCAGGGAGGGCAGCCCATTCTGTGAGGGGATCCCCTGTCCTCATCTGAGAAATCCCCTCAGACGGGTGGCCTGGTGGCAGCTCATAGTCTCCACCACCCTTTGTTTAAAGCAGTGTTGAAGAGAGCTGCCACCAAGAAGAGCCGCAACGACCTGATCCACGCTGAGGAGGGCGAGGACCGGTTTGTGGACCTCTGTGCAGTCGGTAAGTCCCTGGGGTCCTCTGTGTGTCTAGCTTCCTCCGTGTCCCCTGCCACTCCTGGCTTCCTTCTCACCCAGATGTGCACTCACTCATCCCAGTACACTGCTGACTGTGGCTGTGTGGACAGAGCATCAGCACTACGCAGAACCCCCCACTCTGAAGGGATCACTCTCAGCCCTGTCTGTCTTCCTTGTCCTGTGTCTTGGCCTCTGTGGCCCCTGCTCCATCTCCTGCTGCTCACTTGAGGAGCAGAAGGCTGCATGTGATTAGTTCATCCTGCAGAGTGGTGTTGAGTTTCCTTCCTTGCCTTGCAGGAGAATGCAGCTCTGGTCGCTACTAGATGCCTGGTGTCTGGCTTGTATCAGACCCACTGGACTTGCTCTCCAGAATTCTGAGTTATATCTGTTTCTTATTAGATCATTATGCTCACAGGACAGAAAGGTGCATGCCGTGTGTACATACACACGTTCTAACTTTTGTGTTTCCACTCAGGCCCAGAAGGCCCATGTTAATCCCAGGAACATACACTTCCTCATTTCCTGCTCATTTCAAAAAGCAAAGACACACACATATGTGTGCATGCACACACACCCATATATGCCTGTAGAATTAGTGCAGCTTTTCCTGTTACAAAAATAATTTTGTACAAATTTTCTCATGGATGCTTTTTGGAAACCCATCCTTAGTCTGATTTTGTGAAAGAAAATGAAGAGTTTTTTTTTAGAGTTTTTTTCTATGGCTCATAATCATTTACATAACACTGAAAGTATTTGTTATTTGTAGGTGAAATGAAACTGTGAGCCACATAATCCAAAAGAGGAGGAAGGAAGGAGGGATAGAAGGATGAAAGAAAGAAAGAGATAGGCCAGGCATGGTGGTGCACTCCTGTAATCCCAGCACTTGGGAGGCTGAGGCAGGAGAATCATGTGTAAGTTCGAGACCAGTCAGGGCTATAAAGTAAGCCCAAGGCCAGCTGAACTATGTAGCAAAACCCTGTATCAAAAAAAAAAAAAAAAAAAAAAAAAAAAAAAAAAAAAAGAGAGAGAGAGAGAGAGAGATAGAACTTGATCAGTCTTGTTATTTATACTCTGTTAAGAAATCTTCCTTTGGGCCAGGGATTTAGCTTAGTGGCATAAGCGCCTGCCTCACAAGCGCGAGGTTGTGAGTTTGATCCCTGGTACCAAAAAAACCAAAACAAAACAAAAAAAGAAATCTTTCATTTCCTCTGGGTGTTCAATCTTATTTCTATAGGGCTGCATGTATATTCTCACACAGTTTTTCCCACCTCTCCTGTATTTAGTCATTTATGTGTTTATTTATGCAACAAATGTGTAATTGCCTGTCTTTGCTACTAACTGAAAGCATCCTGCCTCCCACATTGAACAGAACAGTAAATTGCTTCCTCTTTTGGAGGAGAGGGCACCAGGCAAGTAGGAAAATAGGAAAAATACGTAGTATATCAAAACCATACGCAAAGAGGTGAGCAGGAAAGGGGAAGGTCTGAGGTGTGCATAGTTGCAGCTTCAGAGGCCTTAGGACAAGGCTTGCTTTTCAGTAAGGAGCTGAAGGAAGCGGGGGAGCCAGTGTTAGAACTGGGAAAAGCCTCCCCCAGCAGGGTGAGATCTCCAGGACGAGTGTGTGGTCTGGGAGGAGGCCATCATAAGGACTCAGAGACTCAGGCAGATTGGTCAAGCAATGGCTCAGGCAGCTGTGTGAGGGTCTGAAGGGACACTGTGTGGCTTCTGTGGTGGCAAGGTCTCTGGATCCATCTGGGTACTGTCTTCAGGGTACCCAGGTTCAAGGTAAACTGAACTGAGGGACGGGCGGCAGCAGGGTGGTGAGTCCGGAGACCTGGAGGTGGCAGGGAAGGGGATACTGAATGTTTTGGTTCCAGCTCTGTTTTAAAGACACACACACACACACACACACACACACACACACACACACACACACATGATTTGCTGACCATTTGATTGGGGTGGAAGACAGACATCAAGGATAGGTTCTCAAGTTTTGGCCAGGTGATAGGAGGGCCAGCCTGAGAGGCAGGACTGTAGGAGAGTGGGGTTGTGGGCCCTCCTCAGTTCAGAACATGGTGAGATCAGGATGAGTGTTGGAGGGCAAGGCCGATGCCATGTGGGCATTTGCACTGGCACCTGGCTTGCAGTCGGAGCCCAGACTGGGGCTTCTGGAGTTGTGTGTATCCTGGCTGCCTCAGACCCACCCACACTGCCCTGCTTCCTCCTGGGTTCCAGTGTGTCTCTCTTTGCTTTTCTTCTTTTTTCTTATTGGATCATATGGAATAGATATATATAGTATCTATGTATATATAGATATATATAGTATCTATATGATCACTTTTAGATAGCCAGATTTTAAATTTCTTGTTTTGATTTTCAATTTTTTTATATTAAGTTTATCTTTCTAATTTTTTGTTTATCATTTGGCTTAAGAGTATGTAATTTGTTTTTTATTCTTTAATAGTGAAGGCATTTTAGTTTGTGCATTTTTTTCTACATAAAGCTTTGCTGTGATTGCTCCTTCATATCAGTTTCTAAATCTTTATATTCCTGTTTGGGTCAGAGTTTTTCTAGGACTATGCTTCTTAATTGATAAATAGTTACAATATTTTGGCTATATTTTTAGTATTTCTAATTTGGTTAGGAAGGTGCCTTGTAAATCTCCACACTTGTAAGTTTTTAAGTTGTAGGTTCATAGCTGATATTAAAATTTCATTAGCATAAATTAGAATGTAGTCCTGTATCTAAGTGCTACTTACACGTAGGCCTGTTTGTTGGAGTCCAGTTTGTTGGATATAATTTGCAATTCTTTTTTTCTTTTTTCGTTTTGGTGCCAGCAATCAAACTCAAGACCTTGCATTTGCCTGGCAGGGGCTGTGCTGCTGAGCTATATCCCCAGCCCCAAGTTTTTGGTTCTTTGCTTATGATTTCTGTTCTCAAGATCTGTCTAGTTCTGAGGTTTTAAGCGTCCCACTGTGTGTTTTTCACAAAGCTCCTCTTGCAGGTCCCACAGCTGTTATTTGCATACTTGGCTCCTGTGCAGTTTGTCTAGTGTGAAGAGATGATTGTTATTCTTTTTTTGAAGGTGACCTTTGCTCTCTGCCCTGCTCTAAACAGTCCTGCCTTGTCTGATGTTACATAATGCCACCCACCACTCTGCTTTTTGTTACTATCACTGTTTTTGATTTTTAGATTACATTTGTTTGGTACCTTTCTTTCTTTTTCTGTTTTTCTTTAGCATTTTAAGTATTCTTATAAATCTTATTTATCTGGATTTGCTTTGTTTTTCCTTTTCTTAAACTATCTTATGGTCTCTGTCTTTTTTTTTTTTTTTTTGGTACCAGGGATTGAACTAGCAATCTTGCGCTTGCCAGGCAGGTGCTTAGGCCCCTGAGCTAAATCCTCGGCCCATGGTCTTTGTTTTTATACTTGACCTTAACTAAAGAAGTTGAGAAACGATGGCAGAGTCTGTTTGTATTTTTTATTTCTCATTTATATTGCATTACTATTTCCTCTACTCTTCATCCTTCTTTTTTATTTTTTTGGTTCCAGGGATCAAACTCATGACCTCATGCTTGCCAGGCAGGCGCGTATGCCACTGAGCTAAACCCCCGGTATCTTTACCCTTATTCCTGCTTTAGCTAAGCTGTTATTTTTATCATATCTCCTAACCCTCATTAATTTCCAATGTCTATTTTTTCCATTTCAGAAATAGTATATTCCCTTCTTTGATTTCATAGTTAGAAATATAATTCTTTACTGTTTTAGTTTGGGTCTTTACCAGTCTCACTACCAAGATGCATTATTTCCATCACAAAATTGTTCTGTGCCCATTTATTCTGTACCAGCCCCATTCAGTAAGGGCTTCCCCTCCACTCATCACCCCCCCCCCCCCGGTGGAGCTGGGTCACTGTCCTTGTGCCTGTGGATGCCTCCAGGCCCAGCCATCAGATCTGTGCCTCTGCTGGATATTTCCAAGGCCTGGCCACAGTCTCTGCTTGACTTTCAGCATGCCCTCTTCTCCATTTATGGCTCACTAAAGGTGCACATGCTTGGTGTCAGCCCTGCTCTGCCCCTGGGGAGCCCACCCTCAGGCAGTGTGCAGGCAGTGTGCACTAGGTCTGAGCTCTTGCGTGCTCTCGGGAGCCCTTTCTTGGTCCTCACCCATCACCAAGCCTCAGCTGCTACACATCTGTGGGTGTCACTCTGTCTTTTAGCATCCTGTGACACATGGGGCACTGGGTGCTGCTGGCCCTTTGTTTGTCAATGGCATGTTCTCTGCCTGGTGTCTGGAAACAAGGTGCAGATCTGCTCCTGTGAGGAATGTTTTCTCCCATTGTCTAATTCATCTCCTCTCCTGGCTGTCTTCGCTTTCACAACTCTTGCGTTTCTCTGGTTTTGCTCCTTTAGATCTCTTACGATTTCTTTCTTAAACTTCCTCTCTGTTTTCAGAACACTACTTATCCTCATCTCCTGGGCTGTTAAAATAGATTTCAGGCTCTAGGTTGTCTCATTTGAACCAACTGAGCCTTTGTGACAGGCACTTTGTGCTGTTACTAAGTGAAGAGCTTCTAGGCTATGTGATATCACCAGAGTAGGCAGTGACCACGTTTGGCTTGTTGCTTGACCCATGTCACTCTCACTGCCATGTGCTAGGCGCAGGGACACTCATGGGGAACTCCTCTGCCTCCTTACTGGCCCCTGGGAGTTGAAGGCACAGTGAATTTTGATCACTGATTTCTGTGGCTCGTTCAGAGCTTAACACAAACAGTCTACCTGTTTATTGAACAAAGAGTGTTGACCAGGACTACTGAGGACTTAGTGTGGAATCCCACACTGCAGCACCCAGGAGAAAGGAGGCACCTATGTACTAGCATCAGGCCTCTTCCTGTGCTGTCATTCATAGACTGTTTCAGTTTCTCATTTTCCCCTTGCTTGAATCAACCAGATTTTTTTCCTTAAAATTAGCTTTTTCATTATAGAGAATATGTACTGATTAGGCTAAATCTGGAAGATAGAGAAAGTTGAAAAGAAGTGGTTTTCCAGGAAAGCTGTAATTCGAATGGCATATTTCTCCATTTCTGATAGGCTCCCTGCTTTTTTCAAAGCTAGGTGGGGCCACTGCCCAACACAGAATGGAGCACACGGTGGCTGCTGACTGCTTGCCTTCTGTAGGGATTGCTCTCTTGCCCCAGAGACCAGACCCATAAAGTGTTTCGAGGTAGTGTCGACCTGGGGTCCCTGCTTCTGGACCCAGGGTGTCCTGGCTTCTGTCGGGCTGGGTGGCATATCTCTATCCTAGGTGCTGCTGGCTGCTGGCACAGCAGGTCTCTGGGGGTCCCACTCCCCTAGCCTTTCACTGTGGGTAGAGTCAGGGGCCGGGGGCTTTGAGGGACAGTTTTGAGAAGTGTGGTTTTGCACAGGTCTGGCTGTTAGCATGACTGTGCATATCTGTGTGTGTGCATGGGCACAAGTGGACATGTGTGCAGTATGAACAGGCATTAGTGAAAGGGTGTATTCCTGTAAGGCCTTCCTTATGTGGCACTAGCTAGTCCTCACCTGGATACATGTGGTGAGCCAGGCGAGATGGCCATATAGTGTCCATGGCCATCAGGACTGAGAAGTCCTGCCAGTGAGCCAACTCCCACTTAGAGGTGGTGGCTGCCCCAGTGATATCCAGGCCTGGGTCATGGGGGTAGGGCCAGGCTCGAGCAGTACCTTCTATGTATATGGATCCAGTGTGACATCCAGAGTTGGGCATTTGTGATTGGACCTTGTGAGGCCATTCCTAGGCTTATGGACACTCCTTGAGGTACTCCTCCTCTGAACATTGTTTCCCTATCTATCTGATGTGACCACTCAGCTCACAAATTCTTCCAGGGCCACTGCATATAGCACACACGTGAGAAACATACATGCATATTCAAGCCTACATCTGTCTGTGCATAGGGACCCCAGGCCCAAATGGTGAAGTCCCCTGCAAGGCCCTGGCTGGGAAGCTGTGTGCTTACTCAGAGGACATTCCAGAGAGACCCATGTGCAGATCTTTGCTACCCAGAGCAGAGATATTTTCTCTGGGTGCAGGTTTGCTCTGCTGTGGGGCATGTGTCCAGTGGACACTGCCAGACACAGATACACCAGGGCCCATGGCATCCAATAAGATATTCACCATGCAAGGGGCTCAGTGGTTAAAGGACCATGTGACCCTGTCCAGGGAGCTTGTGGCTGGGAACAGGCTAGTAGGCAACCATAGTGATGAGATAATGGGGACACATCATGGTTGGGGTGGCGAGGAGAACCCTGTTTTAGATGGAGCACCCTGAGAAGGGTGCCAGTAGAGGTGATACTCAAGTCAGAACTGATGCTGAGAGGCCAGCTGTGGAAAGGAAGCATAGAGGGAGGAATTTCGTGTCGGGATGGGAGGCTGAGGCAGAGCAGCAGTGGTGCATGGAAGGGAGAAGTTGTGATTGGGGTGAGTGGGAAGAGAACCAGGAGTCAGGTGAAAGCAGGACTAGTTCAGCCCCAAATGGTGAGGATCCGAGGCTTTGTGGGTAGGACAGTGACCATACATGTACATAAATGCATGTACATTATGGGGGCCTGTGGTGCTGAGCCCAGGTCAGCTAATGCTGCACAACTCCCAGACTGGATGTAGGGAGGGACTGGCTGGGTCAGACATACACCCTGGGGAAGAAGTGTGGAGTGCCTGCGGAGAGTGTATCAGGGCTGCCTTCCCAGAAAGTAGATGGCTGCTGGGAATCACAGATAGTGACTGGCTGCAGTCCAGCTCTCCCATCTGGTGCCCAGTAGACATGGAGATCACTGAGGCCTTTGTTCTCTCATTTGACGGGTGAGGGTGGAGCCAGAACCTCCTCTGGGTGTGGTAGAGATGACCATCACACTGCGACTGATCAGTGGAGGAGGGGAGGATGCATCCTTGGGGGTGAGTGTGGTCTGCGGGTTGTGTCCACAAGTAAGATGACCTGAGTTCTGGGGGCCTGCTCAGCCAACTGTTTGTTCTGCAGGATCCCCTTTCACCCGCACCAGCCTGAAGAGTGGGAAGACAGAGAGCTCATCATACTTTCGGAGGAAGGAGAAGATGTTCCGGTTCTTTATCCGACGCATGGTGAAGGCACAGAGCTTCTACTGGGTGGTGCTGTGTGTGGTGGCCCTGAATACATTGTGTGTGGCCATGGTGCACTACAACCAGCCGCAGCGGCTCACCACGGCGCTGTGTATGTACCCAGGGTACTTCCTGCACTGATCTGCTCTGTAGCCAGGAAGCCCAGTCCCACACCTGTTCTTGCTGGAGCATCTAGATGTGGTGGAGGACCCCTATCTGCTGCATACCTGGCCAGCACTCTGTGGCTTTTGCTGGGGTGTGGGCTGAGTCCAGGCTTTGAGGGTCCCTCTGCTCCTAGAGGCACAACTTGGCTGGTATGAGACAGGTCAAGGGGTTCTGGTTGCCCAAATGAGAGGGCCAGCTAGGCCAGGCAGACCCGTTTCCTTATAAGGGCTTTAGATCCTTTGTAGGTGATTCTGTCTTGTGTTCCTCCTGCTCTGAGGTTGTGGCTCCTGCCCTGGAGCTCTGAGGAGGCAAAGTCCTGGCTTCTATTCCTTCTCAGCCCCTTCTGTCATTTCTGTTCTCCTTTTCCATTGGTTGAACAGAGTAAGGAGCTGTTCATGACCAGAGCTGATTTGCATGTCCTGTATCCCATCATGAGGATTGTAGTCTTGCTTGTCTTGGTTCCAGCTACATCTGAGAGAAGGCAAGGAGGAAGGTGCCAGATAGTGAAGCTTTTTGTGCCTGTCCAGAATTGACATGCCAATCTGACCCTAGCCTTAGGCTCTGTGAGCCTCACAATGTCCCCTCACCCCCACCAGCGGTTAGTCATGCTCACACTGGTTGACATCCACCATGGTTCTGGGGAGCAAGACCTGTTTTGGGTTCTCAGGAGGGTCAGGCTCTCTCTAGGAGGACCTGTGTGCTAGGAACCACCCAGGGCACCCAGGAGAGCCTTTTCTGACCTAGAGAACAGCCGTCCTGGTCCCCAGTCTTGGCCCAGTTGCCTGACATTCTGCCCCGATGGTGACCATACCATAGTCCTTCAGGCAGCCACACCCTCCTGTGTACCAGGAAGCCTTGAAGCTACTGAAGGCCGCTTTGCAGACTCTGATGGCTCCACAGGAGACGGGTACACATAGGCTGCACTGGTGGGAGTCTGGCTTACAGCTTCCCCAACTTCTGTGTCGAACTGTTATTTGCCTCGTGAGGAAAGGGCAAAGAGACAGCAATCAAAGGAATCCAAGTTGTGCTTGTCATAGGAGCTGAGGGGTGTCAGCAGAATAGGTGAGATGGGGTAGCTGAGGCAGCTGTATGTGTCCCGGATTTGCCCCTTGCCTCTAGTTCTTGCTTCCTAGAGGAAGTTTGGTATCAGGAGTAGTTTGGTATCAGAACTTGGGCAGTGCTCCCAGTGGGGGCTGGGAGAGGCAAGGGATCTGCTTCCTTCTCACCAGCCAGTTGGGCCTGTTTTTCCCACGCAGGAACCAGTGGTGCTCTGTCTGTCTTTCAGTCTGTCTTGACTGCTGGGTAGCTGCTGCCTGAGCTGTCAAGTGAGTGTGTGTGTGAAAACCTACACAGCTGCTTGCTCCTCTGATGGGTAGGAGCACAGGGCTGGGCTGCCTCTTCTGCTCTTGTTCTGTGATTTCCTGGAGTTCCTGGCTCTGCTGTCCTCACTGAGAGAAGACAGCAGGAGGGAGAGGTGGTGTTTTCCCAGGTTCTCTGTTTGGCAGCTGGGCTGACCTAGTAGGAGAGGGCAGGCTTGGAGCAGACTCACTGGGAGGCCCCTGCCTGAGGCCTGCACCCTATAGATGGGGCTCTGGGTACCTCAGCTGCCTGTCTATGGAGGACTTTCCCCAGTGTTCCTTCAGGACCTTCAAAACTCACACTTGGGTGTAGAAAGAGAGCTGTCAGGCCTTATCATCTTGTGAGCCACAAGACAGACTATCCTGCCCTCCCCCAATTCCCAGAGCATAGTGTCCCCTTGCTACATAGAATACCATTTTAACTGTGTTCCTCAGCTCCCCTCTTGGCTGGTGAACTCCTGGAGAGAAGTGTAAATCTCCCTCGTGCCAGCTCATAGAGGCACCAGCACCTGCTAGTTGGGTGAATGATACAGGAATGAGTCAGTGAGCACCCTTGCTTGGCCTCAGAGGGAAGGTAGGGTGCTGAGGCTTTCTGATCTCTTTCCCTGAAGGCTTCATCTTGGCCATTCTTACAAAGTTGTTGTACTCTGATCCCTCAGGCAGCAAACTGAGGGCTTGTTGGCACCCTCTGTTCATCTTGTGGGTGACTGGCAATCCTTTGCTGTGGCTTCTCCCAAATGGCCCGGTATGCACAGAGGCCTGGCGCATACGCAGAACCTTTCTGATGAATGTGGAGGGACTCTCTACTTCTCAGCTAGGAGCACTGGGTCTTTGCAGACTGCTGTGTTTACTTGTGTCTGCTGGGCTGTCCAGGCTGGACTGTGTGGGCACAGCTTTCCTGCCATACCTCACAGCCATTGTGCACAGCCAGACCCATGTGTCCCTCTTAGGCAGCATCAGGCCTCACTGGAGATGACCCTTTTTTCTCAAGCAGGCCTGGCCTGAGAGTCAGTGGCATCTGTGCCTCTGCTTTTGGTCTGTGGCTTCTCCAGGTAGTATCTTGGCTTCTTGTCCTGTGTTCAGTGTGGAGCTTAGAGATTTTCCACCTGATTCAGAGGTTGGACTTGTGGTGGGTGAGTTGCTCCCAGCAGCTGATTGTCCAAGTACTCAGGCCATTGTGGGGAGGTTCCTTTCCCTCTCTGTTTGCACTGTGCTAGGTAGGCTGTGGAGCCAGTGATCTGCTTGTCCTGGCAGGGAGAGGCAGCTTTTAGAGTGCACCACGATGTGTGGTATGTGTCCTCTCCATTGAATGTTTCATCAGGAAATGTGTTTGCTTGAGGTCTCATATCATGACAGAGGCCTGGAAAAGCTGGGCTGTTGCTAACCACTCACTGGCCTTTTGGAAGTTTGCCTTTATTCCTTTCTTTGGCTCTGCTCTGGTCTCAGAGCTGCTGCCTTATTCCGAGGCCAGGGTGTACTTAGCTTCTGGGATGAAGTAATCAGCTGATATTACTTTGAAAGGAAAAAAAAATTCAAACCAGTGGCCTCAGGCAGTGGACACATCCATGGGTCAGGGAGTTACCTTGAGTCCAGCTGGGCTCTGATGGCTCCCATGCACATTCTCTGGCACCTGAGGCCTACTGCTAGAATCACTGTGGGGTCACCGCCTGCTTTTGCTTTAGCTCTCCTCTTGCATGGGTTGGACTAGTGGAGTTTGTCCTCCATGTTAGTGTGACCTTCTTCTAGGCCTGAGACCCTGGAGGTATGGCAGTGCTACTGCTGGGACTTGTGAGTTGAACTCCCTTCTGTCCCCCTCATTCCCTGACAGCAAGGAGTAGGCTTTGTAGGCCCTTGTAGGCTTGCTTTGTGGCCATTAGGGCTCTTTCTGGAGGGGCTGGATTGCTTGGGATATTAGCATTCTCCCTCCCTGTGGAGCAAAGACATGATCAAAGTTAAAATTTAACATGGTGCTATAGGATCTCAAAAAGGGTGTTAACAGGTCCTTGTGGAGGCAGAGGAGCTGATGAGGAGACTGAGAGGCCCATCTGCAGTCAATATGGGGCAGGAGGTGGTCCACAGCCTGGTAGCACCAGGCATCTTTGGGGATGTCCCTTGTGATCTTGGGTCTCATTCCTGAGCTGGTCCTGGAGCTGTGTTCCATAGACTCTGGGGACTCATTACTGTCTGGACTGGGACAAAAGTCTTGTGTTGCTTTCAACCATTCATTGTTCCAGGCTGAGGTTTCAGAACATGTCTGGTGTAGACCATGCCTGGAAGGCTCAGCCCTAGCAAGACCTTGTGATGTGATGTCCTGTGGTCTGAGCTGGAGACCAGGTGGAGCCTAGTACTAACCTCATCTTCTCCGACTTCTCCTAGACTTCGCAGAGTTTGTTTTCCTGGGTCTTTTCCTCACAGAGATGTCCCTGAAGATGTATGGCCTGGGACCCAGAAGCTACTTCCGGTCTTCCTTCAACTGCTTTGATTTTGGGGTGAGTGGGATGCCTTGTACAGCATTCTTTTGGGGGTCTGGTGCCTTGGAGGGGTGTCCTTGCCTGACAATGTACACCACCCCTTTCATTTTTGTACCCTGTATGGGTTGAGCTCTATGGTCCCAAAGGCTGCCTAAGGCTGGAAAGTACAGGGAGGTGACAGGGGGAGCCTGATTCCCTGGTTTGACTGAGGTGAGTGTGATACAGCCACACCCTGGTGCAGGGCATCATCCTTTCTTGCAATCCTGTCGCAGATGCATGGCCAGCTGAGGGCTCTGTATCCCTCAGCTCTCTGTACTGGCATCTGGTCACCTCACAAGGGTCAATCCCTAGCAGAAGTGGGAGGCTGTGCATATGAGCCAACTGTCTGTGGACATGGTGGGCCTGGGACAGGGAGACCTCAAGGCAGGATGGACGTAGTCTAGTAGCCATGGCTCACTGTGAGTGTCCAGACCAGGATCCAGGCAAGGGCCTGGTCTGGACACTCCTCTGACCTTGGTAGAATGTGTGGTTTGGATTCAGCACACTGAAGAATTAGTCACCAGGAATTCTTCGGCCTTATGGGAGGTAGTTCAGCTTGAACGTTCTGCTTGACTTGACTTCTCCTTTCCTGGGCACTGGAGCTTACAGTTGGCAGAGCACCTGTGTCCACAGTGTCTGTAGAGCTTTATACTGACTCTTTTTTTTTGTCTTTTTCGTTTTTATCGGTACCAGGAATCAAACTCACAACTGCCTGCTTGCAAGGCAGGCACTTATGCCGCTGAGCTAAATCCCCAGCCCCTTATACTGACTCTTGAAACTGGCGTGGGGCTGCCCTGCTGGTGTGTGGAGAGTCAGTGCTTAGTCCAGCATTCTGTCCTTGGGTAGTGATTTATACTGGACTGTGCTACTTTGGGCTTCCTCTGGAACCTAGACATCTGTTGCTCTGAGAGATGGCCTGGAGGAATCTTCTCCTCTTAGTCTTCACCTCCCTGGTCACAAAGAAAGGCTAGAATGTGGCATCCTATTCAGAAAGGGGCCGGTGGCAAGCTAAGAGGGCTTCTAGACGAAAGCCACTCTGCACTCAATTAGATGAGTGCAGGTGATCTGTGCTCAGCTTTTCTGGCCTGGGGCAGTATGAAGGGTAGTACTTATTTTCAGCTCAATAGCTTTCTCAGTCTGTTTCTAATGGTAGGATGGGACCCCAAAAATCTATTTTTGATTGTGTTGTCCTGGCCCCTTTCAGTCCAAGGTAATGTTTCTACATATGTGTCTTTTTGACTATGCAGTTCAGGCTTCCTTGAACTCATTTTGTAGCCCAGGCTGGCCTCAAACTTACAGCAATCCTCCTGCCTCAGCCTCCCAAGTGCTGGGATTACAGGCATGTGCCACCATGCGTGGCCCTATAAATATGTCCTTCAAGAATATTCTGAGTATTTGAGAATATCTTTGTGGATATATTGTGAACCTGATTGAGTTTCAGTCTGTGAGAAGCCATTCCCACAACTCAGGCTGGTCTGCTGGCCTGCCTGCTGAGATGACTGAGGGGCAGCACCCCCTAGTTTTGAAGGGCTTGCCTCCCATACTGGGAAGCACAGTATATCTTTTGGGGCCTACAGGAACATTCCATCATGTCTTTAATCTAAATAAACCTGCTATTCTTGCTTCTGACTTCATCTTTACTTATTTATTTTTAATTTTATTTTAAACAGAGTAAAATTAAACATAACAAAACAGACCGTAAGAAAACAATGTAAGAGACAGATTTCAAAGCAAGACAACTGGAGATCTTCACCCTCTATCACATTGTCTCTTGTTTTCTTCCAAATAGTTGTCCCCATCTTCACATACAGTGAATGCATACAAAACAAAATAGTATAGAACTGATCAGAACAGGATGATGAAGGCATTTTAGATCTTTAGACCAGACAATAAAGAAATCAACAATATCAAAATAGCTGTCCATACCTTCACGTATGTTGAAATTAAACAAAACAGACTAAAATCACTGTGACCAAAGAATAATAATGTTGCTGGATTTCACATCATGACACTGGAATCAGCGCTGCGTACCTTTTTTTTCAAAGTAGCTATTCATCGTGCATTATATAATCAATTCTCATGAACTATTTAGAAGTTCTGTGCATGCATGAATCTCTACATGTATACCTATCCTTTCTGTATTAGAGGGGAAAACAAACAAGACAAAACAAAACAAATTCCTAGAAAAACATGAAATGAAAAAGACATATAAAACCACAGTACAAGGTGATCTACAATGGTTACTATGATACCTTCAATAGAATTGTCTATATCATCAGGCATAGTATAATTGAACATAGCAGTACATAACAATGTTAATAAAAACAAAACATTGGAGACTTCAAAAGCAGGTAATAGTTAAACCAGAGTGGGTATCCTTAGTGAATCTTGTCGTCTTTAGAGTAGTTGCCTATATTCTCAGACTTGATACTATCAAACATAACAGATTCGAATAAAATCAGTCAAGACAAGATAAAATCAGTCTAACAAAGCAGATTCAAATAAGATCAGTCATAATAAGACAGTGTAAGTTATACAAGGCTTCAGATTAAGTTAATAAGAAATTAAGAATGGTTACCGTAGTATATCCTGCTATTATTGGAATAGCTGTCTGTGCCCTCAAATCTAGTACAAGTAGACAGACTGGAATAGAATATAATAAAACTAAACAGAGTGATGAGAATAATGTGGATTTTAAATAATGATACACTATTAACAATGTCCTTTGCTTTCTTTTTTTAGACAATTCCTCCCCTTTCACTTTCACAGGGTGCATTGTACATTTTGGGCCCCACTAACTCCTTTAGTGTTTAGATTAGAGGGGCAACCCGTTATCTACCTAAGTGGTTGTGAACTTTTTTACCCCTGAGCTTGATCTTAAGTTGTATTCCTTTACCTACAAAAGCCTCAAGGTTTTCCTTCACTCCACTGCACAGAAGTGTCATGTCTTTCCAACTTATCTGCAGCTACTGGATGAGCTGTCCCTATTTCTCTTTGGTTCCCTGTCACATACAGCATTGTTTTCTCATATTTGACTTTTGGCCCATTAATCTTTCAGATTAATTATATTTCCTATACAGAGCATCTTGAAGGACATGATCTACTCTGCCTGTGTTTTTTTTTGTTAGTGTATGAAGGCCATCTATGTTAGAGATTATAGCAAACTTTCTCTGCCTCATTTCTGCTATGCTATTTTTCTGCCATTGGTTGTCTACTTTTCTCCTTTATTACACTGTCTTTCCCATTCATTGAGACCTCTTTGCCATTGTTCCTGAAGTCCTGGTGTTTTTTTTCTCTCTCTCTAGAATGTCCTTCAGTATTTTTTGTAGGGTTGGATTGGTGGTCATGAACTCCCCCCCCCCCGTTTCTGTCATGGAAGCATCTTGTTTCTCCATTAATTTTGAGAGACAGTTTTTCAGGGTACATTAATTTGGGTTGGAGGTTATTTTCTTGCAGGGCTTGGAATACTTCGCTCCAAGCTCTTCTTGATTTGATGGTTTGTATCGAGAAATCGGTCATGATTTTGATGGGTTTTCCTTTATAGGTGATCTGTTTCTTTTCTCTGATGGCTTTTAATATTCTGTTCTTATGATGAATTTCTAGGTATAGATCTCTTTTGGTTGTAGGTGGCTGGAGTTCTGTATGCCTCATACATCTGAATATCATTTCCTTTTCCTATGCTTGAGATGTTTTCCTTAGTTATTTCTGTGAATAGCTTTTGTGTTTTGTGTTTACCCCTGCTTCTTCACTCACATTTTATATTCTTAAGTTATAGCTTCTCTTGTCATCTTCTAGCCTTTGTATTATTACTGCCTGTTTCCTTGATATTTTTAAGAGATCTTTCCTTTAGTGATCACACATTGCAAACCTATCTTCAAGTTTTGATAATCTATCTTTAGTTTCTTTCAAGCAATTTTGCCAGCTTTCAGTGGAGTTTTTAATTCCCTGGTAATCTCTTTGAATCTGTTTCATGTATTCTAGATTTTTTTTTATATTCTTCATTGAAGGTTTCCCTCCTTTTTCTGTGTTCCTCCATTCTTCCGCCTGTGTCTTCTTGAGAGGTGCTTAGCATTTCTTTTATTAATCTTCTTATATCTTGCTTTACTTATATTAGTATTTCAGTTTTGAGTTCTTCTATAATGTCACAAAGACATTTCTTTTTTTTTTTTGGTCTTTTTCGGTACCAGGGATCGAACTCACGATTGCTTGCTTGCAAGGCAGGTGCTTATGCTGCTGAGCTAAATCCCCAGCCCCTCAAAGACATTTCTTTATGTCAGCTGATGCTGTGTCTGATATTGCATGTTTACTGCCCTTGATCTCCTCTGTATCTACCTCTCTTGGAACCATATTCCCTGGATTGGTGGCTAGAGGCTTTTTCTTGTTCTTTTTCTTGTTATATTTCTGGTTTCTTCCAGACAGGTGTATGGTGGAGGTCCCAGCCCCTTTTTGTATTGGTCACAGTTCTTCTGAAGCTTGCTGTCCTCTCCAGTTGGCTGTTGGTCACTGAGGTACAAGCAGGGGTGGTATAGGCTGGCCCCTTCCTTCTGAGCCAGTCAACCAGCGGGGGCCTTTACCATGTTAGTGTGTGCCACATAGATGGAACTGGTTTGGGACAATTGCAGGGGCAATTTTGTCTCTGGCCATTGGGTCCCGACCAGGGGTATGACCCAGCCCAAGCAGATCCCATCAGTCTGCTCTGGGCCAGGAATGGCCAACTGAAGCCACTGTGGTTCCAGGTTCAGGCCTGTCCTGCCCAATTCCAATATGTTGTCCAGTGGGAGGACCAAATTCTGAGCACTCACTGCAGGTTAGTGAAGATCTCTGTGCTGGCTCTACTCTCCGTTTTAATGTGTCTTCCCACCGAGGGCCTCCAGCTTGCCAACCGTTGACTTCAGTGGGACCATGACTTCAGTGCGACATCGAGTCGTCTGGCTCCAAGGTGCCTACCACAATGTGACAATGTGGGACTGGCTCTGGTGAGAGTGTGTCTGGCTCCAGCCTTCTGTCTATGTTTTTCTTTCTTTTTTCTTAGTTTCTTCCTGGGTCGTGAGAATCCCTCTCCTTTTATCCAATCTTCTCCATGGTGGTAAATTCTAGCATCTGAGCTGTTTCTCTTAGAGAGGCTCTTTACCTTGCTACTTATTGATTCTCCATCTTCTCAGGACCTCTGACTTCATCTCTAGATCATGCCGTTTCTTAATGTTGATGTTGTTTTATATCTGAAGAGACTGAGTATTTTGAGAACTGCACATCCTCAGATCTTGTTAATTGATACTTTCCTCAGTGTAGCTCTTTTATCTTGAGAATCTTTGTCATAAGCAACAAGAGAACACCAGGCTACATTTCAGCACTTGCCTTGGGGATCTCCTGAGGGAGATGAGATCTCCTCACTCAATAAAAGCACATTTTCTCTTTTTACATAACTAGGTGCAGCAATGGTTAGACTTTCTGCTATTGCACAGCAAGTCTCCCTTTACTTCTCTGTAGGATTCTCTCCCTACTTTCTTGCAGATCCTGGTGTGTGGCATCTCAGTGTCCAAAACACTGTAAATTGTGTTCAGGGCACTGTAAGTTTCCCTGACATGGTGCTGAATACCTGTTCTCTTGACTCCAAAACTGTTCATATAATTTATTTTTTATTACAACAGCACCTTGCTTCTGTTTCCAAAATCTCTGTGATTTTTCCTGCTTGGGAATAAATTATCCCAGTGCTTAGTAGATTAAAATAATGAACATTTATCTTACTAATTCTTTGGATCAGGAATTGGGCTGTGACCTAAAGTTGCCTTGGCTTAAAGTGTTTACTCAAGTACAGTCATCCCAGACTTGTTTGGAGCTAGATAATTCACTTCAAAGCCCATGCTTGTGGCTGTTGACTGGCCTCAAAAGATCCGCTTCTCAGCTCACTCATAAAGTTGTTGACAGACCTCTGGCTGGTCACCTGAGCCTCTCCGTGGCCTCTGGGGTATGAGGAAAAGTTAAGAGCACCCAAATCAGAGGCAGAGTCCTTCTGTACCTGACCTCAGAGGTGATGGTCCATGATCTTTGTGGTACTCTGATAGGAATAAGTCCTTAGGTCCAGCCTCATCAGGGGCTTGGATTATACAGAGAACAAACACTCCATGGTGAATTCTGGGGCCATTTTGGAGGCTACCTACCACATGAACCAATGGGCAAAAATTTTGAGAATTAGTGGAAAACAAGAGGAGCTGGAAGACTGGCAGTGAGAGAAAAAGAGGCTTAAGAAATGTCTTCAGCACAGGAAAAACATCTGCATATTTGCTACTGCAGAGAAAACTGTTAATCTGATCCAGGGCCAGCATGTGTCCCCAAGAACAGACATTGGTAAGCTTACTGCATTTGCTGCATAGTGATACTATCACCAGTGTGCAGATACTGATGTCTGGGAATGGCAGGATGCTGATGTTCTCTGTGTGACAGGTTTGTACAGAAGGTGCAACAGACTGGGTATTTGCGTCACCTACATGTTGTACCTGGGTAGGTCAGTGGTAACCTGTGGGGAAGTCTGTGGTGCTGTAGCACAGGGCACTGACCTGGCACATGCACCCTTTCAGTGACTTGATGAGAACATTGATGCTAACTGGTCCAATTTGCAGGTGACATGAAATTGGTAGAAATAACTAAAGCCCTGGGACAAGACTAATAAAATGTAGTTTAAGAAATTAACTTCTGGCTGGGGATTTAACTCAGTGGTCTAAGCACCTGCCTGGCAAGCTCTAGGTCATGAGTTTGATCCCTAGTACAAAAACAAACAAACAAAAACAAAAAACAACTCTTAGAATTTTATTTTTCTGTGCTAGATGCAGATGTGTGATTGGAGGATCAGAATTACAAACATGAGGACATGGATGCTCATATTGACTGTGAGCCTTGAGTGTGTTCATGAGGTGTGGTAGCTGGGGAGAGAATTCACTTTGGTCCTTGGTCCTATGTAGAGAAAAGATGGTAAGGGGCTTCTGGGCTCCAGGCGTGCTGCTCTGTCCTTGCTGTGCCTCTTTTTTTTTTTTTTTGTCTTTTTTGAGACGGGGTCTCACTATGCAGTTCAGGCTGGCCTTGAGCTCACTTTGTAGTCTAGGCTGGTCTCAAACTCACAACAATCCTCCCACCTCAGCCTCCTGAGTGTTGGGATTACAGGCGTGAGCCACCATGCCTGGCTCTTTGCTGTGCCTCTTGAACCAAGCAATGGCTGGAATGGTCCTTCCCATGGTCTCTCTGGGGAACAGCTCGAAGCAGGGACATGACCCTAGATGACAAGCCTCAGCCCACTCAAATCTACTGTATCTAAGATAAGGCTATGGTAAAACTAAGAGACAGGCTTGCCAAAGTCTGTTCTTGGTGCATATGCTAGCTTTTGTTCATTGGGAGAAGAAGAGATTTAACTTACAGTTTATGAAACAGTGTCTTGGAGCAGTGGCAAGACCAGGGAGGGGAAGTTGCAGGAAAACGGATTTGCTAGTCTAAGAGAGAACTGCTTAAGACAGGATTGTCTGAGATAACTTGTCCAGCCCCAGAGGTATTTAAGAAGGTGTGGGTGTAACCTGGGAGTTTGTCTGGGAGTGAGATGAAGACAAATCAGGACCAATGGGCCTCTGCAGCATTCCCAGAGATTACAGGAGCTTATGTGACCTGAGTGGCCTGTGTTAACTTCTCTGGCTTGAGACTGGAGGTGGTGTAGGTGCTTACAAAGAGATGTAGCCAGGCAGGCGCATACACACAAGACACAGTGGGCATGCGCTGGTGCACTGCGGGCATGAATCCATGCACAGATACAGAGTGTTCTTGAGGGCTGACACCATCCCCATTGCAGGTCATTGTGGGGAGCATCTTTGAAGTGGTGTGGGCTGCTGTCAAGCCAGGAACCTCGTTTGGAATCAGCGTGCTGCGGGCTCTCCGCTTGCTGAGGATCTTCAAGGTCACGAAGTATGTCATCTGTGTACTTCTGGGAGGGGAGGGAATGTGGGTTGGAGGCTATGTTGGTTACTTTTCTCGCATTGCTGGGACAAAATACTCAACACCCAAAATTAAGGAAGGAAAGGTTTATTTAGCTTACAGTTTGTAGAAGTTTCAGTCCACAATCAGCTGGCTGCAAGGCAGAGTAGCATGGCACAGGGGCAACACATAAAGGCATCTGCAGCAGATACCAAAAGCAGCAAGAGCAAAAGGGTAAAAGGGGAGGAGCATGCCTCCTTCTCTCCCTTATATTGCTTGCCAGCTACCCACTCCTGGGCAAGTGCAGAACTCATATACCACCAATCCCAGTGCTAGACAATGTACCAATCACAACCCTAGATCAGCTGCCTCCATGACTGCATGGGACTTTGGGGGCACATTTAAACACAAACTATAATAGAGGCAGTATGTGAGAGTAGCAGCCTAGGTCCAGGAATGCATAGTGCCCAGGAATGCAGGGTGTCTGGAAGCTTTTTCTGTGGTTCATTGGTTTAACTGGTGAGGCTGGTTATAAAATAGCATGTGCTCAGGCACATTCTACCAAGTCTTGTTGGGCCCAAATGTGTCCTCAGGGTCACGCCCCACTGACTCCAGTGTTGGCAGCATGTTTCCTGGTTCTCTTGTTACGTGGTCCCTCACAATTTTGTATCATCCCCTCTCTTGAAACCACCATCTCATCTTTCCAGCCCTCAAAGGAGACTTGGTTTATAGTTGGTAGAGGAGTTCTTAGATGAAGGTTTTACTATTGTCCTGGCAACCCACCTTGCAACCTGGGCTCTGCAGGTGGAGCTGGGCCTCAGCCCTTGACCTTGCCTGAGCCAACCAGTATCTACATGACTAATGTTCTCAGGCCTGCTTTCTGCATCTTCTCTCTTGGCCCTGTCTTCATTATGATGACAGTGACAAGACTGTTTTCAGCCCTCTCTCACTTAAGTCTTTGACTCTGCAAGTGAGTTGCTCCCTTTGCTCATGTGGAGATGGAGGTATACGGAGGTGATGTGATGCAGTTAGTGAGAGGGACTTGGGCTAAGACCCTGCCCCTCACTACCACAATTTCATGGGCTTAAAGGAGAAAGAGCCTGCTCAGCCTGTCTTACGATGGCCACGCTACAGGACTAGCTTGTCCTGAGCTTTTGGAAGATCTATGAATGGTGTCCTCAATAGCCGAGGCTAGCATCGGCAGACCTTGAAATCCTAGCAGGACTTGGGCCCATAGATGGCCTCTACTGGTAGATTAATGCTCTCCTAGTCTTTTCATGCATTTTAAATCCAAACTCCAAATCATCTATTAAGATATGAAAGTATGAATGAAGAAAAGGTTGAGGCAGTGTTCAATCCAGTTTGATCCACAGGTATGTCCTGAGCATTTTCTGGGGTGAATCCTTCGGCCTCCACTGCTTTCCTGTTGTTGCTGAGGGAGATGAAGGAAGTGGCCACAAAGACCACTTTTGCCTTAGCTCCAGGCCCTGTGATTCCTTCCAGGAGGCTGGCTCCTGCCAACCCAGGAAAAGGCACTGCTACCAACCCTCAGGCCCATTGTAAGAGGATATAGAGTATTCACTGCTCAGAAACATCTCATGATTCACCAGTGGCTTCATCAGTCGCTTGTGAGGGAAGGAAATATTTTTAGGAAGACCCAAGCAATTTCATTGCAGGCTCTGCTGAGCAACATTAAGCCACACTGTCACATCTGCAAACAAAGGAAGCTGGAAAAGCTGCCATCGGGAATCTTCAGGTCTCTGGCCTATGAGGAGCACAGAGAAAAGACAGTGGTGTGCTCAGCTACCAGCGTTGGCAGGGTTGTTGTGTTTATTTAAAATTTAATAATTATTTCACATGTAGCTTTCTTTCCTATCATTTTTATGCTTTTTTCCTACAAATAAACTGTAAAAACTTTGAATAGTAAAAAATTATGATTTCACTATAAAAAAAAAGAGGATATAGAGTACAGCTGCATCTCTGATGTGGATGCCACAGAGAAGGAACACCACTTCGGGGCCAAGGGACGCCCAGTGAAACCAGCATCTGTCCTCCCACCTCCTCTGTTCCAGGGAACTGGGATAGCATATGTGAGGCACAGAGGCTGGGGGAATGTCTTCTTGGGGAGCTTGGGAGCTCTGCATGCTTGTGGGATGTGTTCATTGGGATTCTGGGAAAAAATCCCTGGAGGTTGCGGATAGCAGTTGGAACCATCACATAGCAGTGAGGCAATCAGCAGACAGGAAGAGCCTATGTGCTGAAGGGATTGGTTGTGAACAAGGGAGCCATATTCTCTGCCCTCCAGAAGCGCTTGGGGGTAGAGAGAAGGGAGGGGATTGTGGATGCCCAGGAGATAAAATTGCGTGGCACTGCTCCTCATACCCTGTGCCCAGTCCTTAGTGTCAGCTTGTGTGGCAGACATGTCATGACGGAAGCAGTACTGACTTATTTTCTGGTAGATTGAGGGCAGGTTGAGGGCAGTCTGCATTTCATGTGGTCCTGGGCAGGGCTCTGGGTGGCTGATTGGGCGCTGGGCAGTGAGGGAGAGGGATGAATGAGGATGAGGTCTAGGCCTGGCCACCAACACCATTTTGACAAGGAAAGGGCCAGGTTAAGGAGTGTGAGGGTTAGTCTAGTGCTACCTGCTTGCCTGCCTTGTCTGTGGCCCCCTGGGCCTCAGCTGAGCAGTTGCCTGTGACCCTAGAGAGAAGCTTAGCCACACAGACACAGATGCATACATGCAAACACACAGCATGCACACAGGGCTTAGAAGGCCACAGAAGTGGGTGGCTGCAGAGAACCTGGAGGACATGGCCACATTTGGGTATAACCCAGGGTCCAACCATACTGCTGCCCGGCAGGTACTGGAACTCCTTGCGGAACCTGGTTGTGTCTCTGCTCAACTCCATGAAGTCCATCATAAGCCTTCTATTTCTGCTCTTCTTGTTCATCGTGGTCTTTGCTCTGCTGGGGATGCAGCTGTTCGGGGGACAGTAAGTATGTCAAGGTGCGGGAGGACAAGATTGGTCCCACTAGGGAGGCAGAACTCACAATAGATTGTGTCCCTTTCCTACTTTGAGAGATAGTGCCCCTTTTCTACTTTCTCTTCCTACAGGCCCTTTAAGGGGCTGCTGATGGTGAGAAGGCCACCTACCTGCAGCCTGTGACAGCGTGTTGCTGTGAGGTACATGTCTTGCTTCTGGTGGAGCTGTCTCCAGCCTTTTTGTTTTTCCAGGTTCAACTTTCAAGATGAGACTCCAACAACCAACTTTGACACCTTTCCTGCTGCCATCCTCACTGTCTTCCAGGTGAGGACTCTGTCTGCTCAGTTTTACTCTTCCCTGGATGCTGAAAGGGCCGTTAGCTCCTGCCAGTCCCTCCTTAGTTCCTCAGCACAATCCAGATGCACAGAACCTTCCACAAAGCCAGAGCATGAGTGTGAACCTGGGTGGGAAGAAGCTGGGTGCTCTGATGCTATCCTGAGGGGCAGGTGTAGTTCTCTGGGGATGAGGCTTTAAGTTACCAGGGCATTTCTTAGCCCTGGGAACCCGGAATCACTTTTCTTTTGTCTGCTTGGAACAGACGTATAGAGCTCTTTCACCTCCTCTGGTAATGCCTAGGTCCATTGGTGCCTATTTTCTGTAGTATCTGAAAAGCATGTCCACCACAGCACTGGGAGGTCCCCTTTTCTGTGTGGAGGGATCTTGTTGGCTGAGTGGCCTCTGCTCTTCCAGGAATCCTGTGTAGACACTTTCTTGACAAGTGCTGCCAGGTCTGGCCGTGCCAATCATTGATGCTGTGTTTCCGTCTCACAATGCCTATATAGATGGCAGGGTGGGCTGGCTGTGGTTCTGCCTGTGGACACCCTTAGGGAGGCCCCCACAGGCTGCACATGCTCTTGCTGAGCCCATATGTGAGGAGCAGCCTTTTCCTTCCACTTTCTCAAAGACAGGAAGTCTCTCCCACAAATAGACTAAACCAAACCAGATGATTGGTCAGGAGACCAATTTGGTCCAAATGATATGGCCTACTGTTGTCCATTAGTGTGCCCTTTTTCATGTCTTCTCCCTCATGACTCTCTTGCTGGGGAGCCCTGTGGCCATCAGCTTGGTCATAGCCACAGAGAGCCAGCTATTCTCCCAAGAGAGCATCTGCTCCAGGCTGTCAGCACCTGGTCCCATCCATGACCCTTTTTTCTCTCATCATTGGACAGTGCTTCCTCTTCTCTCTGTCTTGTTTCGCAAAGTGCAGGCACCACCTGTGAGCTCACTCCGCTCTCCCGTGTCTCACTGAGGTATAGGCTGCTCTCTGTTGGTCACTGCTGTTGGCTGTCTCAGTGGAAACAAAGTAGAATAGCACTGACTGGGGCCTTACATCGGCTACCCTTAGGAGTGTGATCCTCTTGTGATGTGGAGGGCTATTCTTTATTTAGATAGAACCCAGCTGCCCAGCCAGCATGGCAATGGAACTTGGAGGCATACATGCCAGGCTGAACTCTGAGGATGGTGTATTGTGTGGCCACAGTTAGTTCCAGGACCTGGGGCCAGGTTGGAAAGACTGTGCAGGACAGGTGTAGGCCTTACCTAACAGCAGTCACAGAGAGGACTCCAGAGAAGGGATGGTGATAGGCAGTTAGATGCTATTTTCTGTGCCTGTTGCCAGAAAAGGTCTGAAAACAATGAAGGAGACAGTCACGGTAAGGCCTTCTCCTCAGAGGGCTTTGTGATCAGATCTTCATTAAAGGAACAGGGTCTTTAGACAGTGGAGACAGTAGGGGCCCGGGCACTGAGATGTGTCTGGCAGGAGGCTGGCCGACTGGGTCTGTGAGACCCACAGCCTCAGATGAAAGAAATGTGGCTCAGCCACTCTGACCTCTGAAGAAGGCATCAGAGCTGAGCGTGCTGCAGTGTGGAAGCATGACTGGATTCTTGGGATGGGCAGGGATGGGAGCTTCAGGAGTAGAGTATAGAAAAGAGGTTGGACAGGGCTATGGTTCAGTGGCAGAGCTCTTGCCTAGCATGAGTGAAGCATTGCATTAGATCCCCAGCAAAGCTCTGAAAAGGGAGAAGAGGGAAAGAGGGAGAGGAAAAGCAGGACGGAGGGAAGGAGCAACATCCCCCTGCCGTGTCCTTCTAGGGAGAATCTTGGAGTTCTGCTTGCAGGGGCCAAGCAAGGTGAGCAGAGTAAATCCAGACTGGCAGCTCTGTGGCAAAGTGAAGATACTAAAAGCTGCCCTAGAAAGATTTACGAAAGAATGACATCTAATCTGATGGCAGACTTCGTGAACAACAGATGACAGAAAATCATAGAAAGTAACCTTGAAGTGTTGGGGTCCAGTCTTTGAGTCCAGAGAACTGTGGCTCCAGGTGAGGATTGATACATATACACAAATGCAGGGAGTCCCCACTCCTGTCACTAAAAGCACTGTGAGCACTTACATATTTAAGTATATAGTTTAAAACAAAAGTACATTAATCCAAGAAGAAATGAGCACTTCAGAAGTTGAATAATCTATCCAAATTACCAAGTCCAGACAGTTTGAAAAGTGAATTCTACTGTATATTTAAAAAGTTATTCCAGTTTTACACAGACTACTCACTTGAGTAACCTGGGACTGGAAAGTTGAATGAGAACAAGATTAGGTGGTCATAGGCAGAGGTGAAGGGTTCAGAGAGGAAATTTAGGAATCACGTCTAGATACGGTCAGAACTGCCTGTATAATGTATAATGAACTGTATACATTTACCATCAGAAAGACCACAGATGTGACTCATCCTATTTCCAGAGTATGAAAGAAAATTCCTGCAAAACCAGAATGAGCATCCAGGTGAAATGAGCGTGGCAGCCTGGCTGCTGCGGAAGCTGGTGAGGAGTATATGGGGTTATTATGTGTTCTGCTTTGTGCATGCCTGGAGGCTGCTTTTTCTAAAGAAAAAAGCCAACACTCCTTCCAAATAAAAAACTAGTAGCAGATACATCAGTGTAAGTGGTCATAGTATCATATAACGAGGAAAAGGGAAATAAAGATTCTCAGGACTTAAGAAGAAAATAAAATGCCATCATTCACAGATGCATTATTTGTGTAGACTGAAAAACCAAGCACTGTCATTGCAGACAGTAGGGGACAATTTGGTATCTGTAAAGGAAAACATGAAACTGGATCCCTACTTTGTATCAGGTGCAGAAATTAATTCTCTATGGATGAAGTCCTAAATCCAAAGAAATGTAAAATCTTAGAAGACACGTGAGGACATTATTATTAACAATGCCCAGACAGAGAAGGCTGTTTTAAAGAAGCTAAAGCTGCAGCTCATAAAAGAAACACTGGACAAACTTGATTGCATTAGGATTTCTGTGTAACAAGACACACCATTAAAAGATAATGAAAACACTCAGAGACAAGGGAGAGGACATTATCAGTGTCAGCAAATAACCAAAAAGGATTAGTTTTTAGAATGAAAAACTTTCACAAATCGAAAAGATAAGACTGATAACATGATAGGAAAGGGCTAAAGATACAAGCAAGTAACTCACAGGAAAGGAAACTGGGCCAATGAGTATACATGACTACTGCAGTGAGAAAGCTGGAAGTAAAACTCACCATGAGAACCTTTCAGATCACCTTTCCCATGGTCAGTGTAGCTAAAGTTAAGACTAGCAACAAGGGTTTTAGAGAAGATGTGATTATGCTGTTGGTGGCTGGTAGAATCTTTTTGGGGCACCATTTCCTAACATCCAGTGCACTAAAGTCTGCTTGGTGACATTTTCAAGCACAGAAAGAGATGTGGATAGACCACATCTATAATGATGGAACCTTGGAAACCGCCTGTGTGGTCATCATCAGGAGCATGATAAGGCAAGTGTTCTGTTAGTTCAACAAGGAAAGTGAGTGACCTAGAACTAAATTTGTCGACAGAGATGATCTTATAAATGAGCAAAACATGCAAACTGGAATAATGCATAGCTTATGATACTATTTAAGGATTAAAAGCATAAGATAGAGTTCTGTGTTGTCTCCAGTGAACAGATGTGCAATAAGGGTGTGAAGACATGAGGTGCAGGGTGTGTTCTCTTGGGTGCTGGGTGGAGGGGAAGAGAGGAATCCTCCGGGGAGTAAAGTCCAGGATCTTCCATCTTACGTTGTTTTACTGAGCTTGGGGATGGTGCACAGAGTTTCACTGTGCCTTTCTGAGCACTTAAAAATGGATTTTTAAAATGAAAGGGTACAAAAAAGGTAAATGTTGACCAAAGAAAGGCTGGTGTAGTGATGTTAGTATCAGCTAAAGCAGAAGCTGAGGTAAAGAGTGGATAGCGTAGGGGCTGGGGATTTAGCTCAGCAGCATAAGCACCTGCCTTGCAAGCAGGCAGTCGTGAGTTCGATCCCTGGTACTGATAAAAACGAAAAAGACAAAAAAAAAAAAAAAAAAAAAAAAGAGTGGTTAGCATTTGGAAGCATATCCTATGGTGATGAAAGGGTTCCACCAGCAAGATGCTGCCATTGGGAACTCCATGGTCCACAGCACAGCCTCAGAATACACTGAGCAAAAACCAACAGAATTACAGGGAGAAATGGAAACATCACCATCTCACAGCAGTTTTATAATTCATCATTCTGAAAGGTGAAGATGACAAGAATAGAAAGGGCACGAAAGGGCTCAGGAACACTACAGACATGAAGCACTCTGTATATAGAACCAGCAGTGGCAAGTAAAGTGTTATTTGGGCTCACAGGACATGCATAGAAATTTCCCATTCATTAGATTGCCCAGGCTGGAATAATTGCTGACAGAGATAGTGTTGCTTGAATAGATACCCCCATATACCCACAAATACATATTAATGAAAAGTCATTTAAAATATTTGTAAGTGGAAGGATTGGGATAAAGAGGGGATTTTGTGAACATAAAAATATTTAAAACTGAGCAGTAATACAAGAACTTAACACATAAAGTGGAAGCAATAATTACAGGAAAAATTAAGTGCAATTACAAAAATAAAAGCTAACAAAAAGTGCCCTAATCCTAACAGGAATCATAACTGTAGCAAAAAAGCAAAACAGAAAAAAGGGTAGAAGTAATACAGAATTTCAAAAAAATAAATCTCTAGTTGATAAATTACATATTGTTATCTTAGAAGTAGTTGTTCAAGTTACAAAATTAAAGCATTAAAAAGTAGGCAGTCAAATGATGACAGTACGAAGTATTCTGTCTGATAAATTAACAGCAACAGTAGTGTGGTTATTTATCTTGCACACTTATACATACATATAGTTATATTCTTTAGAGCACTTTGCTTTCATTATTACAAT